TTTACTTCCATCCTCTGTGGTGCTCCCTTCCATGGTGGGGATCAGGTCATATCTGGCTAGGACAGCACCTGGTCCATTCTCTTCGTGTATTCCTCCTCATTTTACATTGCTCCTCTGATTTGGCGTGTCCTGATGGGGGCTGTATGCCCGTTCCAGTTCTGTGGAGACACAACCAAGATATAAATATATTAATGCCTTAACATTATCACTGTTTTACCTAATGTGAAGCCTATCCTTTATAAGGGTAGCACTGTTTCGCTCTGTTGCACACAGTTGGGTTGCTGCGAGTCGGATCTGATTCCATGGCTCCTAACAACAACAATAGTTCATATTGTAACTATAGGAGAACAGCTTTTTCCCATGAATTTTATGTTCTGTCAGTGTCCATCTCAAAATGTGAGTTTCTGATTTATTGCTTAATGTGTGTGCTATATGTCTTTATAATGAAGTTTCCATTTTTACAGAGAAGCAAAGGAGTTCAAGTTGTTGATTAAACTTAGAAAGAGAATAGTAGAATATTTACGGGGCATAACTTTGAGTTAAATTAGAATATAGTTAGTGTCATGGTGCTTAAATAATCTTATCCCTTATATATATATTCACCAATTCTTATAGTGTAGGTAATCGGAGTCCTCATGGTGTAGTGAGTAGGGCTGCAATCCACAGGGTCAGCAGTTTGCAACCACTAGCCACTCAGGGATAAAGACAGGGCTTTCTTCTGTAAACTTACAGTCCCAGAAACCCACAAGGGCAGTTCTACCCTGTCCTATAAGGTCTTCATGGGTTGGTATGAACTAGATGGCAGTAAGATACAGGTAATAGTCAATCTCATAATTAATAAATATAGATTGTGAATTTTTGGTACTTTATTTTAAATTACAATTTTATTAATATAAAAATGTTAGTCCAGGTAAGCTTAGCTTATTTTCTGATTAGATACAGAGAAATTATTATGTTTCACAGTCTCATGCACTTGAAATTAGTATCAGTAAAACTCATTTTGTCTGATTTGTCATACAATGTGGACTGGAATGTTAATTTTTGGAAGATCAGAGACAACTACTACTAATTTATGGAGTCACCTCCTACAAAGAGTCTATGCTTCTGAAAGCAAATGTATACTTATTATTTTGTTTTAAATTCCAGATGTTTTTTCTTACTATATCTTATGTTTTATTCCATAGCATCATACAACCGTGCACAGTGTTATTTTTATTTGTGCACATAATTCCATTTTCTGTACATACCTTAATTTGTTTTGAACAGTCCCCTATGGATGGGCATTTAGATTAGTTTTCTTTATACTTCAAACCCATCATTGTATATTTATTTCTTTATATGATTTTCTGAGTTTCATGATTCTCGAAGCGAAATTGCTTGATAATGCTACGCACTAAAGATAGTAGACATATTGCTAAATTGATTCCCAAACATTTTGAGTGAGTTTAATGTCCCAGCGTAGGAATGTATACGAGTATCTTTTCTTCCATAACCTTTTCTCACATAAAAGGTGAAGATCATAAATCATTGTTAGTTTAAAGTATACGTGTAAAATTATGTTTCAGGATAAGGTTTTTCATCTCTTCATAAACAATCTGAACTTCTTTTCATCTATGGATGTGTTCCTCCTGTTCTTTGCCCATTTCTGGTTGAGCTCTTGTACTTATTGATGTATCAGTATTGATTCAGAGAATCACAGAATCATAATCTTTTAGAAGTTGACTGCACCACATCCTCTTTATTTCACAAGTGAAGAAACTGAAATTTGAAACACACTGGGAAGTATCAAATACATTAGAAAGTTTCGAGAGAAATTATGAAATAGAGTGAAGAGTCAGAGGAATAAGAGTTCCTCATATTTGGATTCCATCAGTGAGATTTATAACCTCTGAAATGCAATTTTCTCATCCTTAAAATGAGTAGACTAATGTTTACCTAGAGGTATTGTCATAATTAAATGTGGTTATATATTTAGCAAATAGCACAGTGGTTGAAATTCAACTGTCACTTACTAAATGTTAATCCTTTTCTCTTTCATGCAACTTGGTAACTTGATTGGTTTGTTCACTTAAGGATAAATATCATTAGCATTTCATAAATTTTATTTTTTCTTGAAAATACGCATTGCAAATAAATACACACATTCACCAGTATCTACCTGTACTATTTAGTGACATTGATTAGTTACTTAAAGTAGTGAAGCCATTCTCGCGTTCTTTTTTCGGAGTTGTTCCTCCGTCATCATAAATCCACTGCTTGTTAAGGCTTCTATAATTTTTTGTGTTGCTGTTGTCAGTTTGATCCCATGTAGATAGTTCTTAAAGAATGTAGTGATGAAGAGTAACTTTTTTTTAACTCACTGGCATCATACTTTTAGGAATATTGGCATAAATTATAATAATTGGCTGTGAAGCGTTATTCATGATTAATGTGATTTTTCCATCACTCTTTTTTTTTGCCCTCCATTCGTCCCTTGGTATCCACTAATAATTTTTTTCTTCTTCTAAGGATTTTACTTGGCTTTTTATGTTCATAAAAT